GTAAGGTAACAAGTGAGTCATCGAAATAAGTTTCTCTGTCTAACCATGAACTAAGAAATTCGCTTCAGCGCCAACAGATCAACAAAGTCGTAGATGTCGAATTAATCTAGTTAATGAATTTCAAACTGCGGGCTGAGCGATAGATTTTTACGCGGTTCTGACAGGCATCAGACCTCTGGTAACTTTTTTTTAGATGTGTGGCGTATAAAGTTCAACGCTTTGAAGGGTCAACTAAGTTGTCATTGATGCATCGGAGTTGCTCGCATGCAGCCAACCAGTCTAATGAAGCATGTTAAGATTTATCGACAAACACGGATAATATGGTGCTTTCGATTCTGAACACTGTTTTTCACCCGATTTGTTGCCCAACGATGCTCTTGTGGCTGATTTATGACTTTCTTCTTCAAATCTAAATTTTTGTACCATTTATGAAATTAAATTATTATTTCGTTTGTTTTAGTATTTTGAAGTGATATCCGGAAAAAATACGAAGCAGAAGTTGAAAACTGCCGCAGAATGCGAGCAGTTCGTTTGCGCAGTGCAGGAGTACGCGTTGTTCTGTTACGAGGCAAATTCCAGGTTTACATTTGTTTTATATTTTTTATGAGCTACTTTATTTTTGACGTATTACGATGCTCGAATTTTCAAACCATTTGTTTAATGGCATTCGAGCATAAATTATTAATTATTATTGTATGCTATTTTGTCTGTATGATATGTAGAAAATGATATTAGGTTTCGATATTTCTACCGAAATCAATTATTAATTATAACGCATATAATATATTAGTGAAATGGTTTTAGGTACCGAATGAACTGTTAATATCTCATTATAGCAGCTAATAACTTTAATTTAGCTAATTTAATCTAGTTTATCAAACTCAAAATCATATAGTTTACTCGTTTCTGCACAACTGCATCGTGCACCTAAGGAATTAGGAAGCCTATTTAAATAGACCTCCACGATTGCCTTGTATATATAATCATCTTTTAGAAAGTTCATTCGTTGCTGAAATATTCAAAATTTTCAAATGGGTCTTCTATGCACGTTGCTGGACTGACATTGAAAGAAGCAGTTATTAAATGATTGCGCCGTTTTTTCGTTTATTGTCGTTTGCTTTCTTCAGTAGCAGTTCATACCATCTGCCAATTCGATCCATTTGCTTACCGAGTCATTTAAATGAGACATGCGAATAGTTCCACGTAAGTAGGACACAATAAAACTGAAGGCCAAGGATACTAGCCGAAAATGAAGATTTCATCTTTTTTTCAATGATTATGAATGGTGGATGGTGGACCTTAATCATTTTGCTCGTATTTTTATTCTATTGAAAAAAAACATGTATCATCTATCTTTATTATTGGTTATATAATGTTTTTAGAAGCGATATCACCTTACTCTTTGCAAGTAATTTCCGACAGTGTACAGATATGTGACATAAAAAAAATTTGTTGTAGCACAGTCGCACAAGGGAAGGAGATTTCTGCTGGACCTGCCAGCCAGATATTTTGATAAAAACGTTTCTTCTGTATGAAAAAGTGGCGCGTATGTTTTAATTTTTTTGATGCTGTGGGAAAAAATCTTGACTATTTAATTCCGTTTTTAAGTTGGAGGACTTTCACTGTATGCTTCGCATTAAACCCTTTTTATTATGGGATATCCTATTTATTCTTTAGTAATATCCCTATGATACATTTTCGCTGGTTTTCTTCAGAATACGGGAGGATATGTGCAGTGTGAAATAGCAAAATTCACGTTTAATAAAAAAACTAAATAAGAGCTGGTACTTCTGCATTTCGCCATTCCGCGTGTTCTAGGACAAATTGAAATGCACAGAATGACGCTTAAACATATATCCAGTTTCATCAGCTTGTTGGTTATTCATTCTTTGTGCACAGTGACGTTTAATAGTCCATTTTTCGGATGCATTGAATTGTTTTTGTTAACCCAATATCGGTTTCATACTGATGGCTGAGTTAGATGTACACACTACTACGACCGTTTAGACTTAACTAGACATCGAAATAATGTTTGTCACATCCATGCCGCCTGTTCGCCATTGAGTTGTTAACTGATTAAAATACACTAATTAAATCATCGTCGATCTGTAACATCATTGTATGTATGTATTACGGTTGCCTTGTATATCGGTTGTCTGCGGTATACCAGATAGGTAAGAAATCGACAAGTTTGATGTGTCAGTCTTTAGAAAAAATTGATAAATTTGTGCAGGTAAATGTTGTTGGTTATGCTGTATTAATTTGAATATTGTACTTGCTAATAATTACTTCAGCCATAGCTTTATTTGTCTGCATTGATTATTTATGCTTTAGAGATTTGGCCGAAGAACTCAGCATTGAACTTCATGGTGCTGATGAGCAGGAAGACCCACGATTTACAGTGACCATAGTCGAAGACCAACAGAGGAGAAAGAAGCGATCCGTGCGTTATGCCGCGTTTATCGTTCCTCAAGGCAGGTAAGTAA